AAGGGGGGGGGGGATGGCCCGCCGCGAAGTGGAGTTTGCTCGAAGAAAGGGGAGCACAAAGTCCCTCGAGTCCGCGCGGACATTTTCAATTATTGCGGACACATCACAAAGAACAAAATGGAGAGGCCTTCCCTGACCGGAGATTGTGCTTGGCAAGCCTCATTTCCGGCCGAGGAGCGGCCCTACTCCTCCCGATTTACTTTCAAGGAGAGATACGTTTTCCATCCCCCCTTTCTTTCTCTCTTTCTCTCTTCGCTTCTTGGCCGTCGTTGCAACACCTGCGTTCATCTTCCTTCGTATTTGGCCAACTTCCTCTTCCATCCTTATTTCATGGCGAATCTAATTAATGGTTGTGCCGTGGACGACTATTGTGCCGGAATTCTACTAGGCACGGATCCTTCTACTTTATCTTTAGTTGCAGAGACAGAAAGAGAGAAAAGAGGAAAGATGGCTTTTCTTGTGCACAATTTAATTATTGCTGTACAGAAAAATCTAGAGATAAATACATCTTTGGATATGCTCGTCGTTTTTTCTTTCTTTTTTCTTTTTTTAAGACGATAAAATAACGAAGAGGAAATGAAATAATGGTGATTGATAATAATGGAATAAGTGCAAGAATAATTGTAATTGGACGGATGTTACGTTTCAAATTTTTGAGAAGTATTTATAAATCAGGATATTTAAAGAGTGTTTTAATAAATTTTCAATTATTGAGAATATTTATCTGATAATATTGTAGATTTTAAAGCTTAAAGAATTCTTATTTTTGTATAAAAATTTATCTTTTACACGAATGTAACAAGTATATATAGTAGATTTCATTTCATGGCGTTAAAATTAAATCTACAATGAAATTTAATCGAGTAAAAATAAAGATATGAAATATATGTAACGTTTTATATCTATTTTAAGATAAAAAATATAGATTATACGTTTATAAATAATTTTATTAAAAAGCTGCATACCAAAATTAAAAAAATTATAAATTATTAAACTTATAAAAATATAAAGTATATCTACAACTACAACTTTAACATTCTAAAGTAGCATAACTAAAGATTTAAATACACCTTTTTCCCCTGACTATCTAGACAGAATGCATATTCATACAACTATACTTAAAGAGTTAAATTGATAAAGATTCAAAAGAAAAAAGAATCTCACGATCTTCCAACAATCATCCACTGCCAATCCATCTCTCGTTCACTCGAACGCAAACATACATTCACGGATACTCCTCTCAGTTCCACGAGAAGGGGTTGAATCGTTTCCTCGCGAAACTTTCTACCCCTAAAATAAAATAAAAGATCGTCCAAGTACGCTTAAAGTACACGCGCTCCATCCGCCTCCCCCGTGGAAAACTTTTTTTCTCGGTCTCCGTTTCCGGAAGTGGCGCGATGACGAGGGTAAACAAGTCGCTTTTCATCACCTTCGACGTATTTACCGGAAGGAGCCATCGCGCGCGCGCGGGCAGAAGATAAATGTGTACGTAGCGAACTTTAATAATTTTGTCTTCTTGGAAGGAGTCTCTCCTCCTCCTCCTCCTCCTCCTCTTCCTTCCATTCGAAGTAGACGACGTCTGGTGACGTCGAATCCACCGTTAATAGATTCCTCTTTCCTCGCGGCGCAGCCACGGTTTCATCCGGGCCGCAATTTAATAAATCAACGGCCCTGTCTTTGATGCGGCGCATACCGAGCGAATTTGATAAACGAGCCGCGCCTCGCGTCCTCCGCGAGTAATTCGCTCGACCGAAGCTGAATTCGGCGCCGACGCCGCGGAATTTTCATCCCCCGGCGAGCGCCGCTCCCTTCCACGATCCACCAACCTCAATTATAGTTCGTTTGAGCGAGAAGGGAGGAACTTTCGATCGTTGATAGATGTATGAATTCGCGCTTCTGATTGATGATTTGATGAAAGGGGGGGAGAAGAATAAGGTATTTTTTGGATACGGAATTTAAAGAAATGAATTATATATTATCGAATTGTGCTTCTTTGCGTAGAAAATTATATACAAATTTAATTTCAAGGATTAATATATTTTCTTTCGTCTGAAAAGTTCTTGCAAGAATAAAAAGTATCACTTTTCTATAAAACGTAATGAATTATTTAAAAAAATTATCAAATAATGTCAAAATATCGACGAATTAAATCTTCATTAGCAATGAAAAGAAAAATACTCATCCTTTTTATCACAATCCTTTTATCAAGTCTTGACTAAATCGATGACTTATTTACCAACTGACTCAAGTTCTACTAAATCATTTCGACCGTTCCAAAATTCGAACGAAATCATATCAAATATAAATTTATTTATCGGCTATCGACGAGTTAAATCTTCATTAGCAAAGTATTGAAAAGAAAAAGATTCATCCTTTGTATCACAGAGTCGATGACTGATTTACCAACTGACTCAAGGTCTATTAAATCATCTATTAAAGCATTTCGACCGTTCCAAAATGCGAACGAAATATTAAATATAAATTTATTTATCGATTGTCGACGAGTTAAATCTTCATTAGCAAAGTATTGAAAAGAAAAAGATTCATCCTTTGTATCACAGAGTCGATGACTGATTTACCAACTGACTCAAGGTCTATTAAATCATCTATTAAAGCATTTCGACCGTTCCAAAATGCGAACGAAATATTAAATATAAATTTATTTATCGATTGTCGACGAGTTAAATCTTCATTAGCAAAGTATTGAAAAGAAAAAGATTCATCCTTTGTATCACAGAGTCGATGACTGATTTACCAACTGACTCAAGGTCTATTAAATCATCTATTAAAGCATTTCGACCGTTCCAAAATGCGAACGAAATATTAAATATAAATTTATTTATCGATTGTCGACGAGTTAAATCTTCATTAGCAAAGTATTGAAAAGAAAAAGATTCATCCTTTGTATCACAGAGTCGATGACTGATTTACCAACTGACTCAAGGTCTATTAAATCATCTATTAAAGCATTTCGACCGTTCCAAAATGCGAACGAAATATTAAATATAAATTTATTTATCGATTGTCGACGAGTTAAATCTTCATTAGCAAAGTATTGAAAAGAAAAAGATTCATCCTTTGTATCACAGAGTCGATGACTGATTTACCAACTGACTCAAGGTCTATTAAATCATCTATTAAAGCATTTCGACCGTTCCAAAATGCGAACGAAATATTAAATATAAATTTATTTATCGATTGTCGACGAGTTAAATCTTCATTAGCAAACTATTGAAAAGAAAAATACTCATCCTTTTTATCACAGAGTCGATGACTTATCAACTGACTCAAGTTCTATTAAATCATTTCGATCCTTCCAAAATTCGAACGAAATATTATATCAAATATAAATTTATTTATCGGCTACATGGACCATACGCCTGCCATTTTCCATTTTCTAACGATTCCCCAAAATTCCATCGAATTCCGTCGCCCGTTCAAGAAATTCGGC